GTTAAGGTGTGTTTCTTGTAAACAGCAGAATGTTGGATCCTGTTTTCGTATCCAATCTCTTAGCCTGTGCCTTTTTATAGGTAAGTTGAGTCCATTGACATTAAGTGATATTAATGACCAGTGGTTCTTAACTCCGGTCACTTTTTTAGTAGTAGAGTTTGTGTGTTTCCCTTCTTTGAGTTGTGCTGGTGAAGGGTCTCTAGATGTTTGAGTGATTGTGGTCATTGTTGGACTCCTTGGTTCGTGATTTTCCTCTATTACTTTCTGTAAGGCTGGATTTGTGGCTATGTATTGTTTAAATTTGTTTTTATCCTGGAAAATTTTGTTTTCTCCATTTATCGTGAATGAAAGCTTGCCTGGGTATAGTAGTCTGGACTTGCATTGATGATGAGGGAGTGCTTTTTAGAGAGACTCCTACTTCACAGCTGCATTCAGGATCCTGTGCTGGGTTTCTGTGTTCTATCTCTACACTGGCGCTTCTGCCACCTACTTGTTTTTTCAGAACTAGAGTTGGGAGTGGCCACTCACAAACACTGTTTTCAGCAGCTCTGTGCCTTGTAGACTTGTCTACAGGCTAATTCTACGGAGGCATTTTCTCGATTAAGATTTCTTTTTCCTGGATGATATTGACATAAACCTTGCTGGTACAGATGGTTCGCTAGTCTATTTAATAGGGATACTCCCTGCTTTATCCTATGAATAATATATATATATATATATATATATATATATATATACATATGCATCAGTGTGCACATATCCATATACATACATGTTAGGTTTAAATTAAATTTACACATATTTTAAGGGAAATCCAGAATTAGGAAGGTTCAATTGATCTTCCTTACCCATCTCCTGAGAGTCTTGGTGTTTCATCCTGAGATCAGCAATCTTTGCTTGTTTCTTTCAACAGTAAATGCCAATTGGTGTGTCATATTTTGATTTACCTAGCATATTAAAAGATACTTAATTTTCTTTTCTTTATGACAAACCTATAGGTGACTTCTCTGAAATTGCCTTTAACCCATTGCTCACAGGTCATGGCCATATTATTCTAAATTACAAAATGCTTCAGTGTTGAGAGCAGAACAAAAAGTGAACTTTAAAATTCAGATAATCAGCACACAATGCCTTTAGATGAACGTGCATACTGTTTACAAGGATCAGTTATTAGACCCTGCAGGTGTAGATAAATTTCCAAGAGGAACCATAAGATGATTGCATAGTAGCTGCTGCCTCTGCTCCTTGGTAACCATCATCTTTTCTTGCCCAGTTTCAGCAACAACACAATGTGAACATTATAGACGATGTCATTTGAGGATCCAGCAGTTCAAGCCTTTTCAACACCATTTACAGAAAGATGCATGGTTGAAAGAGATGAGTGAAGATTTTGGAATGACAAAGAAACATTATATTTGTTCTTTATGTAGTTATAATTACTTTATCTCAGTTTAGTGGAGGCTTGTAATGTGTTATCTGACCGTGCTTATGTATAATCATTTATAATTAGTTTTCCATTTTGTTTCCTCTAAAATTTAATCAGAATAATTTTAGAAAATAATTTGCCTTGAATCCTAGCAGCTGCCATTTTTTCAGCAACATTGTCCAAGGCACTTAGACATTTGAAATATACTGCTAAAACATGAGGGGCATCATCTTTACTTACTGAGGCCTGAGGTGTTTCAAAGGCAATAGAAGGGATGGCTGTATTAAGCGGAGCCTCAGGAAAGGCTTCTAGGAAATCACTTTGATGTGTACTCATGACAGTCATAAATTGCATATATGACGATGAGTTTTGGATCTCAGCATAACACTTGATACACTTAATCTGACAGAAGAGAAAGTAGGTAATACAGTTCTTCTTTTGATGATGCAATTGTCTTTGAGTCACGTCTACTCCTGCAAGCAACCCCTTACATGTATGCTTGTAAGTAAACACAATGAAATTTATTGGTTCACCATGTTGGATTTTGGAGTAATCAATCAGTTTATGGTTGGATTTAAAGCCCGATCTACAAAATAGAGTTGTTGTGTAACATTATTGCTAAGGAGACAGGAACAACTGTCTAATCACTCTAGATAATAAACCAATGACCCAAAACATGGGTGACAACTCACAAAAGCTGGGAACCTCATGTGTAGAAAAGTGTTCTTTCCAGGCTGTTTGTTTAGCTCCACCTTCTTTCAGGAAGTTTACCTTTTCTGAGTGTGTGTTTCAGCAGTCCTTACTGTTTCTACAGCCTGGGGGAGGGAAGGGCTTGGAGAGTTTGGCCAGTTTTAGAAAGTTCCTGAGACTATTTTGAGATATTTACTTTCCGATCTTGAGTTTGCTTGCAAGAAGGAATGCTTCAGCTCCCCTTAGAATATTCTGGTGTTTCTCCTCTCTGTAAAAATCCTGACTTAAAATATCCAGTTATTTCATCCAGTGTTTTAAGGAGCTTCCCTCAAAGATGGAAACTTTTAATCTCTGAGGAAACTGTGATGGGACAGAAAGTTTCACCTGACACCATTTCAGGCTGGATAGTTCATGGGGCTCTACTGCTGTTATTCTGATAAATGCTATACTGGTAGTGTTAAACAGATTTTCTGTTGACTTGTATTATACCCATGGGTTAATGCATCTCTCAACTGTTCTATATGCAGTATACGGTGATTAACACAGAGACTCGCACAAGAGGTCAGTCTTGAGAGTGAGGGAATAAGAAATTCTCGTCCCTAAAAAGGTACATTTGTATCACATACTCCTCTCCATGCATGCAGGGGTCCCTATGGGAGAGGAGGCAGCTAGAGTGTAGTAGCCAGATGTAGTGGACGTTTAAATGGAAACAGTGTCGTCTGCACACAATCAGGAGACAACACATTTTAAATTCAAAGTTATAAGTTATGACAGCAGACACATCACCTGTTCAAATTTAAACCAAACAAATCCCAGAATGGAGAGGGGAGGTGGGCAGAAAGGACTATCCCCAGCGCAGGGGTTTAGGGCAACTGATAGCTGTGGAGAAAGGAAGAGTCAGTTTTCTTAGGAGTGTAGTCACAAACGTTCAATAGTATATGGACAGTACAAATTGGACTTGATGCAGAGATGGCTCAGCAGTTGAGAGCACTGACTGCTCTTCCTCAGGACCTGGGTTCAAATCCCAGCACACACATAGAGACTCACAGTCACCTGTAACTCCAGTTACAGAGGATCCAGTATCCTCTTCTAGATTCGGTGGGCACCAGGCACACAAGTGGTACACAGAAACAAATGCAGGCAAATTATTCATATCTATAAATTAAATAAAATTTAAATTGGTCTTTATGTGCTTAAAAGATGATACAAAGTTGGGTGTGTAGGGAAGATGGGTAGATTAAGGAGGATTTGTAGGGGGATAATATGATCAAAACACATTGTAGAAAATTGTATAAAACTGTAATTATCTCAAAAAAAATCTTAATGTAAGCACAGATTGTGCTTTTGCTTCCTAGCCACCCTGACCTGAATAATCACACAAAAACTATATTAATTACAATACTGTTTGGCTAGTAGCATATTCCTAGTTAGGTCTTACATCTCAAATTAACCAATTTCTATTAATCTATGTATAATCATGAGGCTGTGACCTGCCAGGGAGATTCTAGCATCTTTCTTCTTCGGCAGCTACATGGTGTCTCTGCCTACTCTCTCTCTATATTCAGTTTAGTTTTCCTTCCTAGCTCTATTGTGTCCTGCCACAGGCCAAAGCAGCTTCTTTATTAACCAATGGTAATAAAAAACATTCGCAGCATACAGAGGGGAAACCCACAACATCTCCCCATGTTGTCTAAATAAAAAGGAAGGTTTCAACTTTAACATACTAAAATTACATATAACAAAACAGATATCAAGCAAGACTTGCAGTTTCAATACTTTTTGTGAGTCTAAAGATTTATATCTAGTTTATCTTTTATTGTAGCTAAGAAAAACTATTTGTCTTCAACTCCATCAGAGACCCTAGAAAGATATTACCTAATTAAACAGTCACCCAAAGCTGTTCTGTAACTTTGGGGCATCCATCTTCAGCCTATAGGCCCATAGTATCTGACATACTTTTTCATGAAGCAAGAAATTTGAAAGAATGTTTTGCATATATTGGCAGTTTGTCAGTCACTTTCTTCTGTGTTCTACAGAATGTCTGGCAGATTCTTTCATGAAGTAGGGACCCTAAAGTACTGTCTCACCTTCTTTAGGCAAGTTCAGCAGTCATTTTTCTGTGGGCCCTGCGTGTCCAGTTTATACATCATACCATCAAGCAGTTCAGGCAAGAGCAGGTTCTTGCCCAAAAGTCTAGCAAACTCCATAAGGAGCTTCTTCAATGCCCATCATTCTCTCGAAGTAATTGGTGCTGCCAGAAGCAGACATGTCTAGTTGTCAAGTAAAGTTCTTAAAACCTTTTAAATGCCATATTCTGTAGGTCTTTGAACTGTTCAAGGTTATCTAACCGAAATGTACCTCTGTATATCTAGGAAATCTAACTAATATGGCTACAGGTTTGACTATTATAATTATCTATTAATCTTTAATTTTAAATTATACATTTTAAAATGACCTGCACAAACACAATACCTTAAACTAGAGCAGAAATTCCTATACACAGTGTAAGAAAATTGACCCTAAATTTGTATCAATAGACCAAGATCCATACCAACGCAAAGTATTCATCTCTATATCATTTATAATCATTTATAACCAACCTTTTGTAATAAAACAGTTATTTATTCTAGAGGCTAGCTCAATTCTGGAAATAACCAGGCCAGCTTAAAGATAAACAATTATATTTTTAATTGTTATAAGGGGAAACTCACGCCACAAGAATGGAAAGTCCGAGTTCAGCTGTGTCCAGTGGGAATCACCCAGAAAGAGCACACACCTGGTCCATTCCAATTTTTGTTCCTGGGTTCCAGGTAGGCATGCCTTAATTAGGCTCCACTTCTTAAAGGTGATTGGTTAAGAGAGCTTTCCCCATCAATTTATAAACATCATTTGGGGAATTTGGGCATAGTTTTCTCTAAAGTGTTTCCTGCTATTTGTTGAGCAAAGTATTTTTAGGGTTCCAGACACCTTTCAGGGGCTCTTGTTCCATTAAACCACATTATCCTGGAAGGAATTCACAGGTTCCCATCTTCTGTGGAAACAAAAGCAAACCCTCTTTTCCAAAGTAGTATGTCCTTGGACTCACATTTTGCAGTCAAGACACCTTTATGTCGGCTTAACTCAGCAGCCCTCACAATCACATGTCTCTCTGCAGTTAGCCCATTAACAGTAAAAAGTTAAAAAAAAACACAATTATATACATAATCCAGACTGTTTATGTATTTTCCTTCTTTCTGGGACTTTTTTTTCTATCACTCCTTAATATATATTTCATTATCTTTACTCTTTTAATTTATGACTTTTCTTCTCGCTCTCCTAAATCCGTGTACATTTATCTAACACTGTGAACCATTCAGAGATCTTATTCATCTAAATCATATTGTATATCTGCAGTCATTTTCTGATCGATGTTGTAAACTGTTAAGCAGGCATGGCTAGGAGCAGAGCAGCCTCTTCGGCTGCTGTTTTACCCTTCTCAGCTTTTCAACATGACAGATGTTCACTGCCAGATCTGGGAGGCATGCTTACCACCCCAACTCTGGGAAGCAGTTGGCCCATGCCACCACCAAATAACTTGCATCATGCTGCCCACAAACCCCATTCAATCAGACCTCCCAAAAGAACCAGAGCCATTTGTGCTATGAGCATAGACCATGAAGCAGTTTCTTAAAGAAGCCATGCAATTTTTGCTGCTAAGGCTGAGTCTGGAAGCCTTCTCTTAAAGGAGTCACGCCTCAGTTCACTGCCAGCAGACAGAGCCAATCTGAAAAACAATGCAGCTACCAACAAGCTCCAATTGACTTCTGTTTTTGTAGGTCTAGATGCCCTTTTTAAAAAGCTTTCTTTAATGTTGATGTACATTCCTGAACTGGGTGCCATTTTGTAAGTGGAGTTTTCACTTTTGTTTCTTGGCCACCCTGACCCAAATACTCACACAATAACTATATTAATTACAACATTGTTTGGCCAATGACTTAGATATATTCCTAGCTAGCTCTTACATCTGAAATGAACCCATTTCTTTTAATCTATGTATACTACAAGCCTGTGGCCTACCAGTAAGATTCTGGAGTCTTTCTCCTTTGGCAGCTACATGCCATCTCTTTGACACCTCCTACTCTCTCAATGTATTCAGTTTAGTTTTCCAACCTGTCTCTATTCTGCCTGCCATAGGCTAAGCAGCTTCTTTATCAACCAATGGAAACAAAACATATCATAGCATATGTAGGGGATTCCCACATCATCTTAATTGTAGCATTGTGTCTTTTTTTAACCTTTCTTTCTCTCCCCACATTTCTTTGTAGACACAGAATAAAGATGGATAAGATATACACTCATGTCATCATTAAGAACATTTATTATTTTCAAATTTGCATCGGAATTTCAGCCAGCACCTTCCTTCTTTTGCTGCATGTCTTCATGGTCCTTCAAGACTGCAGACTTAAGCCCACGGAGCTGATCACATGTCATTTGGCCCTTGTTCATATTGTGATGCTGCTCACTGCACTAGATTTTTGGTCTCCAAACATGTTTGAGTCACTGAATTTACAGAATGACTTCAAATGCAAGGCATTGTTTGACCTGAGCAGGGTGATGGTGGGCCTCTCCATCTGTATCACCTGCTTCCTGAGTGTGCTACCATCATCAGCCCAAGCACTGACTGGGTGGATAAAACCAAACACACACTTACAAATTACATCATGTATATTTTCTTGTTTTTCTGGTTCCTCAACTTAGCAATGTCATCTTGGTCACTGTAGCTTATTCCAACACAAGCCAGACAAATCTACTTGTGATCAGTGAATAATGCTCAATATCTCCAAGTACCCCCATCAGGAGGGGACTGTTTTTCATTTTGACATTTTCCAGGGATGTCATTTTTGTGGGTCTCATGATGTTCTCTAGTGCATACATGGTGTTTCTGTTATTCTGGCATCATAGGCGATCACTGCATCTCCACAGAAGCAGCCTCTCTGTAAGACACTCCCCAGAGCAAAGAGCCACCTGGACTATCCTGGCTCTGGTGAGTGTCTTTGTGGTCACATACTGGATGAACCTCATCATTTCATCTTACTCAACATTGCACTGGAGGTATGACCCTGTCTTTCTGAGTCTTCAGAAACTTGTACTCAATGCCTATGCTACTGTGTGTCCAGTGATACAAATGACTTTCCAGAAGAGAATACATGATATTGTGCAATTTATGTACTGGAAATACAGTTACTTTATAACACGATAATACTGGGTTTTTTTTTCCTTGAAAATAGATTACCAAACAATCAGTTAACTAATCAAGAAACACAAAATTCGTTTCTCTGGTTTAAATAAGTGTATGGAAGTCATTTTAATAGACATAAATTTTAAGATGATACCATCAACTACTACATAATTATTTTAGTTTAATGCTCAGCATAATCGATTTTTTCTTTTTTCTTTTAAATTTTGATTCATATCAATACCAGTCACAGTTCTAGCTTCCTTTCTCCCTCCCTCCCAATACCCTTACCTTTCTCTGACCTACCCCATTCACTCCTCAGAAAGAGTAAGGCCTCCTATAGGGAGTCAGCAATGCCTAGCACATCAAGTTGAGTCAGGACAAAAACCCTCACTCTTGTATCAAGGCTGAGCAAGGCATCCTACCATAGAGAATTAGCTCCAAAGAGCCAGCTCATATACCAGGGTTAGATTCATGTTCTACTGCCAGGGACCCCTCAAACAGACAAAGACAGACAACTGTTGCCCATATGCACAGGGCCTAGTTTCATCCCATGCAGGCTCCCCATGTCTGTCTAGAGTCTGTGAGCTCTCATGAGCTCAGGTCAGCTGTCTCTATGGAGTTCCCCATCATGATCTTGACCTCACCTTGTTCATATGATCCCTCCTCTCTCTCTCTGACTGGACTGCCAGTGCTTGGCTGTGGATCTCTGCATTTGCTTCCATCAGTTACTCGATGAGGGTTCTATGATGACAGTTGGGTATTCGCCAATCTGATTAGAGGGAAAGGCCAGTTCGCCCTCTCCTCTATTGCGAGGAGTCTCAGCTGGGGTCATCCTGTGGGTTCCTTGGAATTTCCCTAGCAGCAGGTTTCTCCCTGACTCCATAGTGGCTCCTCCATCAAGGCATCTTCCCTGTTCTCCCACTTCATCCCTTCCCCACTCAACTACCCCTTTACCTCATGTTCTCATGCCCATCACCTCCCTTCTATCGCCTCCACCTCCAGTTTACCCAGGAGATGTCATCTATTCCCCTTCCCAGGTGATCCATGCATCTCTCTTAGGGCCCTGCTTGTTACCTAGCTTCTCTGGAGCTGTACATTGTTCTTTTTATTGGCTGCTTTATATGTAGCAGTATCCACTTATGAGTGAGCTCATATTGTTTTTTTTTTTTTTTGGATTTTTTTTCGTTTATTTATTTATTTATTTATTTATGATTTCTGCCTCCTCCCTGCCACTGCCTCCCATTTCCCTCCCCATCCCCCAGTCAAGTCCCCCTCCCTTGTCAGCCCGAAGAGCAATCAGGGTTTCCTGCCCTGTGGGAAGCCCAAGGATCACTCACCTCCATCCAGGCCTAGTAAGGTGAGCATCCAAACTGCCTAGGCTCCCACAAAGCCATTACGTGTGAGCTCATATTGTATTTGCCTTTCTGGGTCTAGGTTACCTTACACAAGATGATTTTTTTTTCTAGTTCTGTCCATTTGCCTGCAAATTTCAAGATGTCATGGCTTTTACATCTGAATAATACTCCATTGTTAAATGTACCATATTTTCTTTATATATTGTTTGGTTGAGGGGCATCTGGATTGTTTTCAGGTTCTGGCTATTATGAATAATATTGCTGTGAACATAGCCGAGCAAGTGTCTATGTAGTATAATTGATCATCCTTTGGGTATATGTCCAAGAGTGGTAATGCTGGGTCTTGAGGTAGGCTGATTCCCAATTTTCTGAGAGACTTCCATAATGATAAGTCCTGGACCCACTACCAGGGGCCCCAAATGGGTCAAGCCATATAAGTGTCACACACTTTCAGAGGGCCTACTTTCATCCCATGAAGGCTCCCCATCTGTCAATCTAGTGCCCATGATCTCCCACTAGCTTGAGTCAACTGTCTCTGTGGTTTTTCCAATCATGATCTTGATCCCCCCTTGCTCACATGATCCCTCCTCCCTCTCTTCAGCTAAGCTCCAGGAGCTCAGCACAGTTCTTTGCTCTGGATCACTACATCGGCTTCAATCAGTTACTGGATATAGGTTCTATGATGACAATTAGGGTAGTCACTAATCTGATTATAGGGAAATGTCAGTTCAGGCACCCTCTCCACTATTGCTAGGAGTCTTAGCTGGGGTCCTTGTAGATTTCCCTAGCACCTGGCTTCTCCCTAACCCCGTCATGTCTCCTTCTATCAATATATCTCTTTAATTGCTCTCCCTCTCTGTCTCTTCCCCAACTTGGCCATCTGGAGCCCTCATGTTCCTATCCTCCATCACTTCTCTTCTACTCCCTTCCTCAGTTTACCCTGGAGATCTTAACTGTTTCCCTTCATGTATGTTCCTATTAAGGTCCCCCTCTTTACCTACCTTCGCTGGGGTTGTGGATTGTAACCTGACTATTCTATGCTTTACGTCTATATCCACTTATAAATAAGGTCATGCTGAGTTTGTCTTTCTGGATCTGGGTTACCTCACTCAGGATTGTTTCTTCTAGTTTCATCCATTTGGCACAAATTTTAAGATGTCATTGTTTTCCTTTTTTACTTCTGAGAAATACTCCATTGTGTAAAGGAATTACATTTTCTTTATCCATTCTTTGAGGGGCATCTGGGTTGTTTCCATGTTCTGGTTATTATGAATAATGCTGATTCTGGTTCCATCAGTTACTTCCTGATGGGTCTTTGTTGACAGTTGTGGTATTCACCAC